TGTAATTATTACATTTATTCCTAAAAAAATCATCTCCGTAATGCATATAATAGATTTTAAAAAATCGCATAAGAACTATAAAAACTTAAAGAATGCTTAAATTGAATATTTTAATGAAAAACTGCAGAACAAAATCCAGTCCAATAAAGTAAGGTTATGTTATCATATTTGACAGAATATCAAATAAATTATGGGAACTTTTCAGACACAAAACGGGTACGAAACTTTTGTCAATGTGAGACACATCTATCTCTTAAAAGTTTCGAAAAATTTGTTACACTAAGATCTTTATTGTTATAGCTTATGTAGCGAAACCATATTTCGGCAAAATGTTTCGAAACAAAAAGCAATTTATGTTAAGATACATATGTATCAAAAATGCGTCGAAATAATTCCGGGACTTTGGTGTCTTGACACAAACACAATCATTGTTTTGAAACTGTTTCGCAATGTTTCTCAGCAGAGATTTTGTTTCGATTTTGTGTTTAAAAATGCTTCTTGGATGCGGCATGAAACTGACTATAATTATGAAAATATTTTCAGATCCTCAGTCAAAATTATTTATTTTTTGGTGAAAAATTTTATTAAAAAAATCTGAAAATATTTTTATTGGAGCAACAAACTTTAAACATGAAATTGTATATTTTGTAAAGATTCAAAACATACAAAAAAAATAATATTATTTTTTTTGCTTCAGTAACAATATTATCCGAAATTCACCAACTACAAGGATATAGATATTAATACAATAATAAATGCATAGTAATTTGCTGGGCCGGGTATATCCTCTTACACCCAGGTGATAAACAGAATTCAACTTTTACCCTTTACTAGAATAGGTATGTCTATGTCGGAGCATGCATAATTCGCTGGTGATAGAAAAATTGGTCATGGCCGTGTATGTCGAAAATACTTTCGGGAATTTATTGAATTATATCATTTATATCAGTACATAAACTTGAATAAAACAGTATCAAGAACCTGCGATTTTTTTTCCTTTTGATATTGAGATCGCAACCTTGTCAGTCTTAACAAAACCAGTTTAACTTAAAATATAAATCTTTTTAAGGATAATCGGAAACCAGGGTTGGCAAAAAATCAGATTTTTTTAATTTAAATCAGATTTTTTTGATTTCAATACAAAACATTATTTAAATCGGATTTCCAAATAATTTTAGGACTTATTTCTAATTATAGTCCTATCCTAAATGGCTAAATATTCGTAACTCTGCGCGATACCGATAACATTAACAATTCTACGGCGCAAAAAAGACGCTACAATTCCGCAACAAAGTCGCTTTCAAAAGGATTTTTTTAAACAAAAGTAAAAAAAACAAAAGTATTAATTTTTGTCATTTTAACGCCTAGACATAAAAGTAAAACACTTTTACGCCTAAGCACAAAGATATATTATTAAACTGATATTAAGTGTCAAATTGTCACTCGTTAATTAATTGTTAAAATTAATACTTTTGGCTTCTTCTTCTTCGTACGTTAGGACCAAGTTTTGTGTTTTCTTCAATGGTTCCCTAAGAACAGGTGGGATGATGAAGACCAGCTTTCATACTATCTTATAGGTGGTCGCGGCATGTTGGATCTTTTCTCATTAGCAATTTTCGCTAACCGGCCGTTTGGTATCCTGTCCACATGGTCTCTCCACCCTCTTCTCCTGTTTCTTGTCCATCTTACTACATCCTGTACTTCACATGTTTCTTTTATATCCTCACTTCTTTTCCGATCATATAAGGTACATCCTGTAATTGATCTAAGTGTTCGCATTTCTGTAGGAGCCGTCTTGTCATTGTGTTCTCTGTTCTAGTCTCTATCGCATATGTCATAACCGGTCTCAAGCAAGCCTTATAAATTCTAACTTTGCTTCTGATGCTCATATATTTATTTCGCCAAATTATATCCCTTAGATATCCTGATATTAATGATGCCTTTGTTGTTTGGGTTTTTACTTCCTCTTTGAGATTCCTAGTGCTTGTTATATTTGCCCCTAGATATTTAAATGACATCACTTCTTCTATACTCTGATCATACCTAGATTGCATCTTCTAGGCTCTCTAGATATTGTAAGGGATTTAGTTTTTTTCACGGATATTTGCATATTAAATAGTTTTGCCGTTTGTTGGAACTTATATAAAAGCTTTTGTAAGTTATCTTCATATTCAGATCGTCTTCGTCTTTGTCTCCCAGTCGATATCCTCCCCCAGCTTGCTTTACTTCATTTATGATTTCATCCATTACGATTTTGAACAGGGTTGGGCTTAAGCTATCTCCTTGTCTGATTCCGATTGTCACAGCTATTTTTCTGCTTAGTTTATTGGCCGCTCTTACATATTATGTGTAGTTCTCGGTATTCAACTCTTCGATTACTTTTATTATATTCGACTGAATTCTCCTTTTTTGCAGTAGGTTTATGACATCAGTTAATAGGACTCTATCGAATGTCTGGGTAATATTAATGAAGAACATAAAAGCTGTCTTATTAAACTCTATGGCTTTTTCGGTTATTTGGCGGATGATAAATATGGCATCTATTGCAGACCTGTTATTTCTAAATCCTTGTTGTTCTTCACAAATTCCGGTTGAGATTACTTCTTCTGCTAAAATTTCTAGTAAACAGTTTTTGTACGGCACTCATCAAACTGATATCCCGATAGTTTCGTGGATCTGCTTTTTCTCAATAAAATAAATCTCTGCCGTTTAGAGGTCAAGTAGATTCACACGAAATTACTTCCAAACATCGTTCCAACATGTTTATTGCTGAATAGATATGAATGAAGTAGGTATATGTGTTATACAAATTATTTTTTACATAGTTTTATAACATTTACAATTATTTTTCGATTTATTAAAAGTATTTAAACGTTGCAATAACAAGTGTAACATTTTATTTGATGCATAGATATAGGGGATATCTGTTATAGAAATACTTTTTATAGTTCTTGGACACATTTTCATAACTTTTACAGTTATTTTTCGATTTATTATAAAGTTTTAAAAAAGTTGATTTTTTTATTTAAATTACAAGATTAAAATAAAAAAATCACTTGATTTAAATCATGCTAACTTTGCTTTTTACAGACACACCATCTCACACATTTTGTTTATTTCAAAAAGTTAATTCTGAAAAATAATAAATATGTATGCGAAAGAGCCTGGTTAAGAGTTTTATCTCTCTTAACATCTACTATCTCAGATTCAAACATATCAGTTTATCGTTATTTGCAAGCCATTAAGCTTGGATCAACACTGAAATGTACCATAGTTTTAACAAAATTACCATACAGTATTACTGTGCATACTATCAAATTTGATATTTAAAGCAATAACTGTTTAATAAGTAGGATTCCTGGTCGAATTTTGAGAAACTTTATTACAAAGAGTTTTTATTTTTTAATTATACATAAATAATACCAATTTTTAGACATCTTTTCTGCCACTTTTAAACAGTAGCAGCCGTTATTCGTGGTAGAAGCAAAAATAACTGATGGTAGTTCATTTGTCAGTCAAATATTTATCTAATGGTCATATATTAAATTTAATATTTTGAATAAATTATTAATTCTTATACCGGGTACGTCTGAAAAGTCGCTCACCCCTATAACTTTTTTATTTTTTCAAATAAAAAAATGAGATTTGGTATATGTACACAAATATACAGGGTGGCGCACCTCATTCGCCTCGGTTGACGTAAATGGAAAGATATAGAAACAACATTTTTTATAGGTATATGCAGAGAGACAATGTGCATGATTTAAAATTATTTTCAAATGTATAGGTTTCTACAGCTCAGAACTAAGAGCCACACCAAAGTTACATTTTTTCTTATGGAACACCCGGTATTTTATTTAATTTTTGATTCGTGGGCATAAAATAAGGCATTTATTATAAAGGTTTAATATATTTAATTGCTTTGGTTTTTGATATATTTAAAGATATTTAAATATGCATGCTATAATAAGAAAGTTTGTCAACACTCTGTAGATCACTTTTTAGAGTTAATTCTTGTGCTGACTTTGAAGCCAGAGAAATAAACTTTACTAAAAAAAAATATTGCTTCCTTAAATGTATACAGGGGTATCAAAAATTGCTGGTAAATTTTAAATACATATTTACTTTACATAAAAACTTCGTTATTTCAAATACAATACTATATATTTTTTTATATAAGTCGACGCGGATTTAAATGCTCTTTCAAACTATATTAGGGCTACCTATACCTACCTGGCTCAGATTTTGAATAAAAAGCGATTTTTCAATGGTAGTGGTAATCAATAAATTTGAAGTTTAAGCTATACCATTTTTTTGACAGGCAGCTTTTTTCCTCCAAATATTTTTTTTTTCTCAAAAACGGTTAATGTTAATTATATAGTGTTTCAAATCAAAATTCATAAAATTTTATAGAAAATTTTTAAACATGTAATAAAAAATGGGGGTACCCATTTAAAATATAAGTTGCTGTAAACTTCTGGTTAGGTTAGGTGCCGCCATATTGAAAATATTATTAATCGATAAATATCATTGTGAAACAGTGATGTGCAAAAGATCTAACATCCAGATATTGTATAGTTCTCCCAAAACTTCTAATGCACGCTCAGCCTGGGACATCCTGTATATGCATTAAGATTAATATTATCTTAAAGATTCTGAATAACATATTTTTTTATAAATTAATTTGCACAACAGAATAAAACTGTATGTCATATTATTTAAAGAACCAATATAGAAATATTCTCTAAATCAATAAATTACACAAAATGTCATATTAAAAAAATACACCTTATAAATAAAAAGTCAAAACATATTTCACAATAAACTAGCAATAAATTAATTTTATAATACCTTTACAATACCAATAATATGTTGAAATTATGTTGGTGATGAACTAGAAACATTTAAGTTTTATAACACTGACTGGTATTTAAAAATCTTACCACATAAGTGAACTTTCGAGAAGAATTCAAAAGACTCAATAAAACGAAACGCTAACGTTTATTTTTATTTAATTTATTTCGTTTCAATTTCGTACATTAATTTAATATGTACACACTCACACAGAGTAAAAAATCAGTTCTTAGGACTTATACATAATACACTATAAAATTTTCTGAAACAACATGAGTATTACAAAGTAGAAGAAAATGATAAACTGATAAAATAAGAAAACAAAAAGGAATAACAAAGGGAGACAAAGTATACAAAAAAAGAATAAAAATTTTGATGAAAAATATAAAAAAGTTCTATATAACAACTAGCTTGATTTTCAGTTTGTGGCAATTTTTTTACAAAAATAATAAATAAAAGTATATTTTGATTGTAAACAATATGTATATAAAATTAAAATTAAAAACCTAGTATCACTTATTTTTTAGGCCTTTTTGGTTGGCTTGGATGCTGCAGCTGGGTCATCTTTATACCAGTCCTCACTATAAATTACAAACACAAAATTAATAAAAACATTTTAAATCATTAAGTTTTAATAAAACTTACCATCCTTGTACATTTTCTGGGGCATCACACCTTTGACTTTCTTCATTGTAAACCTCTCCAACTTGGCATCCCAAGTCTCTTGGCTCTACACCATTAAGGCAAACATAGAACCTTTGACAGTCTGTAGGATGGGCAAATTTAGGGTGCACTACAAGATTACCATTGGCATCTTTCTGAGTTTCTTTTGGACAGGAGAATCCATCCTTCAAAACATCTAAAAGAAAATAATATATAATTAATTGATGAAATACTATAAGTTCCTAGATAGGAACTATCGGAAAGAAGAAATAGCCATCTTATCCGATAGTCAAACAGCATTAAAAGCGATCAACTCAGTAACCATCACTTTGAAGTTGGTTAAAAAATACTGAAATGCTGAACAAATTAAGCAAAGAAAATATAATTCTCCTACTCTGGGTAACAGCCCACCAAGAGATAGAAAATATTGAAAAAGCAAACGATCTAGCTAGAAATGGAGCGCACACTCCTCTAAATGGACCAGAACCGTTCTGCTTCCCAAGTGGAAACCAACTTAAAGCGGAACTCATGAAGCTGGAAGACTCCATCCATAACCTGGAATGAGAATCCTCGGCCTAAGACACTCGAAAAAAATTTCCAGAACTTACGACCGAGAAAGGTGTATGTGTCATCACTGGTAACTGCCCCACGGGGGTATACCTCGTGAGATGAAAGATTTCCAAGAACAACTATTGCAGAGAATGCGGAGACGAAGAAGACGACCGAGAAAGGTGTATGTGTCATCACTAGAAGCTGCCCCACGGGGGTATACCTCGTGAGATGAAAGATTTCCAAGAACAACTATTGCAGAGAATGCGGAGAGGAAGAAGACGACCGAGAAAGGTGTATGTGTCATCACTAGAAGCTGCCCCACGGGGGTATACCTCGTAAGATGAAAGATTTCCAAGGACAACTATTGCAGAGAATGCGGAGAGAAAGAAGAAAACATAGAACAACTGCTGTGCCACTGTCCGGTACTGGAATGCCCATGCTCTAAAACTTTAGGGCAAGCTTTTTTGGAGGGACTAGAGGAAGTTGCAGAAGCCAACATCAGCTGCATCATGAACTTTGCAAAGAGCTGGAAGTCTTTAACGCAAAGAAAAAATGAAAGAGAAGTTTGGTACAATGAAAACCCCGTAACAAAACCGTAACAATCCGTAAATTGCCATCACATCATAACACTGTTACCTCATTGACAACCTCAGTAAATTAAAGCTAAGAAACAATGGCGAATGCAGATTCTGTGGAAAAATTGGGAAATACCAGAACACCTCATTACTGAGTGCACCGAGACGACAACCATTCATGTCATAAACTTTGGTACGACTGATATCGCAGATGGAGAACTAACATCTGTAAAACCGTCTCAGATCGCTTTTGTAAAAGTCCTGAGACTGTATGAAGAGTTATAATTCAAGAGAAGGGAACAGAATAGGTCGCTGTGATTAACATTCCTCCCTCCTATACAATGTACAATCTAGAACTTACTAGCGTTATCTTTGCATCCTTGTCTGCCAGCAGAGTCAGGCCATACACAAGTTCCGGAGTATTCATCGAAGTGTAGACCGTTTGTGCAGGTGATTTCGGTGTAGTCCCCTTCGATGCAGTTGTAGAATTTGTTGCAGACAGTCAGATCTTCATGGGCAAAGAATCCGTTTCTCCTGGGGCATGGTCCTTTAGGTTGTGGAGCCTCTGTAATTTATAATTAATTATTAATGAATTTAGTACAAATATAAATATTAAAATCTACTAACTACGTTTTATTTAATAATATGATAGGAAACTTTGCATTGCAAGTGTTATACAGGGTGGTCCAAACTGTTTTCAGGAAACTTCGGCAGCACATTCTGCAGGTAAAAGTAAGTAAAAAAGTTCGTATAAATGTATGTCCTAAAATGCGTATTTTCGGAGATACAGGGTGTGGAAGTTTCATTTTTATTTAGATTTTTTTCAAATAATTTCTGAAGTAACGTCAATATTTGGATGAAAATTGGTGTCTGGGAGTTTTCTGACATGAGACATTTTATTTTGATGTCCATATGACTCTTACTGGTAGGGGACGCCATCTACATGTATTTTAATTGTTTTGAAAAAAAAACATTTTTCGTCTGTATCTGTACAAAACTACTGAGTGAAAAAAATATACATTTCCGTGACTTTTTACGTAAAAATATATCTTGATAAAAATCGCTACGAGCAACCGTTCTCAAGATATTTAGAATGGAAATAGTCAATACATGTCATTATTGACAAAAAATAAACACGTTGAGTAAATCGTTATTTTACTGAAATAATAACTTTAGGAACTTTTTTTTTTTAATTAATCATAATTTTTCTACGAAAAAATGATGATAAAACAGTTTCTGTTGTACTTTTGGCACAAAATCATTTCAAATTCATGATTTCAGTCTAACAAGTATTTAATTAACATGTGTAATTTATGTCAATGATGACAGGTATTGATAATTTCGACTCCAAATATCTCGCAAATCATTACTCGTAGCGTTTTTTACCAAGAGATCTTTTTTACGTAAAAAACTTTAGTTTTATACAGGTACGGACGAAAAGTTATTACTCTTCAAACCAGTTAAAAAATACATAGGTGGCGCCCTCTATATGTAGTAGTCAATTTGACATCAAAATCAAATTTCTCATGTCAAAAAATTCCTAGACATCATTTTTCATCCAAATATTGACGTTACTTCATAAATTATTTGGAAAAATCGAAATAAAAATGAAAACTCTACATCCTGTATCTCCAAAACTAAGCATTTTAGGACATACATTTATACGAACTTTTTTACTTATTATTATCTGCAGAATATGCTGCCGAAGCTTCCGGAATACAGGTTGGACCACCCTGTATATCTAATTCTGTTTAAAGGCCATAAAAGTATGAAAAGTAGTATTCGCTTGACTAGTTTTGGACTTACGTAATTCAGTTCTGTCTCCACATTCAACATTGAAAGGTTGGTCACACTTGTTCCTTTTCCTGATCAATGGGTCGAAAACTAAACCATCTGGACAAAGTTTTGGTTTCGCTTCTCCTTCCACACACTCCCAGTATTTGTCACACTGACGTGAGTCTTCGTATTGTCCATCTTTCGCTGGACATTTGTAGGCTTGACTTTGACCGCCTGAAATAGACATACATATTTTAAAATATAAGCTAAAAAATCTTTATAATTCTGATAATAATGGCGAACAAAATATCTGGTGTCTCAGTACTTCTGTTCTAATGGGACGCTATACAGGTTGTTAACTCGACAGTTACTTATAGGGGAACAGAATGGCAACACTGCCTATTGAGAACGCATGCATTATTGATTATTCTGCCGACTCGTCCCGTCGCGTCGTTTATCGACGAGCGGGCCGAGGTTGCCATATTTCAACCATAAAGCTCTTGCCGCACGTAATGAACAAATTAACAACCTGTATATACATACACGCTTTAAAAAAATAAAGTGTGTATCTTTAAAGGGCAATATTTTAGACTTAGGTACATATTGAGATGAACCGCCTATTTAAAAATAAACATATTTCTTTAAATTCAAAACATTCAATTTTAAGACACTCTGTATACATAAATAAAATGATTTACTTTTTAAATACTTATCATTCGCAACACCCCGGAGACGAGCAAAGATAATAGGTGTTGAGTAATAGCTTTTAGACTACCATTCGAGATGCATTGATGGTATTTTGGTTCGTAAGTTTTGTGACAAAGAATGTTATTAAAGGTAAATTAAACGTTTTCTCATTATTTAACTAATGTTAACTAGAACATATATTGAATTTTTCTGTTGTAATATTCTGTATTAAAGTTTTTCCTTATTTATTTCATCTGAGAATTTAATTTAGGTTAGGAGGAATGATTTAATGAAATCGATTTATGCTGTAAATAATTTCAGTTTAAAAGTAATCTAAATACAATCGTTTACTGTCCATTCGTGCCGATGTTTTTGGTTCAGTGCGTCAATAAAGACATTTTTGAGTGTCCTAATAGTTTTCTACCGTGCATGGGCCAATATCTTAGCTTGCAAAACGGTATAATAATCTAAAGATATTTGCACCAAACATCCAACTTTAGCTTCGAGACTCGAAACCAGAGCCTTAGCACTTGCGGTCGGCGACCTGCTAACTAACAAAAACTCTTCAGTTTTGAATGATATAAATATGGCATGTTTTGAATATATGAAACTACAAACCTTAGTATGAGGACAGTTTTTATATTATTATTATTTCTCTTTTATTAAAGTTCCGAACAACATAGTTGGTTTCTTTGGATTAATGATCAAGGTTTTCTCTGCCTTGCTCTTTTACTTGTGAATTCCAGGCAAAGTACAGCACTCCTTTCATCTTACTCAATAAAATAAGTAGGGCTATTCACAAATTTAGCGTTTGATTTACATAACATATTCTCCTCAATTTTCCCAAAATATTGCTTCTGTCGCGGCGCTTCCGAGGCGAGGTAATCAAAATAACAAATATTTTTAACACAATATAGAGCAATATTTTTAACATAACATCCTTTATTTCATTTGAATTGTTTGTTATGCAGTTGGTCAAAAAAACACTGGCAACACACACATGACCATTACATGCGAAAGTTCGCCTACGCTCTGTGCAGAGTTTGGCATAACAAAAAGATTTCTTTAAATGTTTTGTGACGTCTTGAGTTGCAAAACTTGTCAATCTACCCTCGTATAATTATTCAAAATAAATACACCACAGTGATTAGTCACGATTTTCGATTAACTTTTGAAAAAAATATTTTACACAGTCAGCTTTAAACCTCAGAGGACCAACACCTTCTCTGTTTAAAAATAAACAATTTTCTACTCAACAAGAATATAAATCAGTAAATAACATTTGAAAGTGTCAGCTTTTATAACACATAAACGATTTAATGCTGATTTTTTCGCTTCAAATCCACTGGTTTGTGGCAAAAATGTGTTACATGCAATATCTTGTTATAATTTGTCAAGAAAGTGGAACTAAATAACCCAACAGTCTGTGAGTGAACGGTGTGTTCTAGAAAGCATTTAATATGCATTTTTTGTTCATTTTCACGGAGAATTTAAAAAATAATCGTTCAAAACACCTAATTGTCGAAAATTAATTGTTACGTAATTCTTTATGTATTTTATTATAATTTGTTTTTTATTTATATACTTTAGGAGCGGTATTACCACTTTTTGCATTATATAAAATGCATTTACACCATTTTAATACCCATATAAAATATAACCTAATATATAAGTTACCTAAAAGCTATCATTCAAATCGATAAAAAAAGGAAAATGGAACTTAAAGCTGTGGTGTTATAGGCAAATAAAACTAGCTTAAATTTAGATCATTAAGGAAATGTATTGTAACAATTTACATGTGTATAAAATTGAATATAGTAAATACTATTAAATCGCGTAAGGCAAATTATGTTTTAATTTACTGTATATTAATTTAGCTATTTTAATTAACAACTTTATTATCTAACTTTAGCTGACCTTGCTAATTTGGAACTGTCTGTTAGTAAAGAGAGATTTTTTGTCAATATTGTGTTACGGTTGACTGATTGACCTAATGATCCATAATGATGATACTAATCGATTTGACAGTTGTTCTCAATATCATACAGGTTGTTTCAAAAAACCTGTGCATCTCTCATGGGGAGATTTCTCACATAAAAATAAGATTTATTTTTCATAGCAACATGGACCCGATTCTGCTTTGTTTCATAGCTACAGGAGATTAAAGTATTTTTTTCGATTTATTATAATTTTATAATAAAATACAGTGCTTTTAGCGAGTCTAATGAAATTTGGAGGGTAAAAGTTACTATGACTGCTATATACACATGTTTAGGAAACTTTAATGCTAAAAAAGTGTCGACAGATTCGCCAGAGACGTGCATATGGGTTATTACTGGAATATAATAAAAATCAACATGTGCGCCACTGACTTTTTTTTCAGTTATAAGCAAAAGTGTGTAGGCCATTTAATACTAATCAAAATCATCTTGTTATTTTGTCAATTTCGATCTCCTCGATGAGATAAACGCAATTTTATTAATGGCAATTAATAAAATAGAAATAACATTAATAAATTATTTATTTAAAGTAATTTATTACTGAATTTTATTATAACATTGATATATAATAGTAGTGCTACCTACAGCAAATTCCCCAAAAAATAATGGTTTTAAGATAATTACAAAATGCCTGTATCTTCAAAACTATGCATTTTCGCACCCATGTTTATAGGAACTTTTTTTTATATTTCTTGATGTTTTCATTTTATTATATTTTTATTACATTTTATTAAATAAATAATTTATTAATTTTATTTATTAGTTTTTAGTTTAAAACCTCTCTCTCTCTCTCTGTCTTTATTCCTACAAGAGGAATGTAGTGGTCAGGTGATGTGTGAGGTTTGTCTCCAAAATTCCCTGTCTTGTGGGGCGAGCGGCCTCTTGGTTTTCTTTCCGGAACCTTGCCCTGTATAATGAGCTTTTCCATACAGTCAGTATCCCTCCTCATAACGTGACCGAAATATTTAAGTATACGTGACTGTATAGAAGTTGAGAGGCGTTCTGTGATGTTCAGTTCTTGGATTATGGATCCATTGGTTCGCCGGGCAGTCCAGGGAATTCTGAGCATTCGTCGCCAACAGTACATCCCAGTTGCGTCAATTTTTTTCATTTCTGACTGTCTCATCGTCCAGGACTCGGAGCCATACATTAATATAGGAAATATTAGGCAGTGAACAAGCCTTTTTTTTAAGTGTTTAAATATGTTTTTGTCTCGCCATATCTTTGAGAGTTTTCGCACTGCCACTCTTGTCATTTCACATCTTCTTCTTATTTCGCCTTCTAACGATCCCGTGTTGTTTATAAGTGACCCAAGATATATATATTGACTTACAACCTCAAAACGACCAATGCTCACTACATCAGGTTTGTTGTTGTTTTGCCTGTCGATAATCATAATTTTTGTTTTAGAGGGATTAATTTCAAGTCCAAGTTTCTCGCTTTCGTCTTCAACCAATTTTAGAAGCTGCAGTAACTCTTCTTCGTTTCCTGCTAGAAGGACCGTATCGTCTGCAAATCTGAGGTTGGTAATTTTGTGGCCATTAATTGTTGTCCCCCCTTGCCAATGTTTCAATGCCCGTCTCATGATATATTCAGTATATATATATACATATATATATATATATATAGATTTGCATTTTGACTTATACGCCTCCAAAATATAAACCTTGTAAACTCATAGGCCTCCAAAACCGGAGGCGAATTCGAAAAATCGGAGTCCAATACGTATCGCCATGTATAACAGTCGCAAGTTGTTTCAATGGTCCTAAGGTGTATTGTCACCAATTTTACCCTGGAGGCGTTTTGGTAGTCTACACACGCACAGTTACACAACGTAGTTCCGCATAATTCCACCACGTGGCGCTACAATCTTATACACATATACGCTAGGACAGTGTGTTGTACGGACTGGTCTCCATACAAAAATTGCAATATTATGCCTCCGGAAAAACTGGCAACATAGTTGGGAGGCAAATACGTATGTATATAATACCAATTTTAGATATACCTACTCAATTCGATATTTACCTATTTGCTTATTTGTGTAATACTGCATTTTTCTTTTCAAATTTTATATAAAGAAACTTTAGTATAATAATTTGAAAAAAAAAATAATACACTCATATGCAGAGAAGATTATACTATGTAATAATGGAACTTAAATGTTTAAAGACTTAAGGGTCTATCAACATTATTCATAATTATTATACTTAACTTGCTACTCAGAGGCGACATATTTTTGTGTCCAACAATTTACAGATGCATATTAATAGAATGTGGTAGGCAATTATTCAGTATTGAAAAACTTAAAAAACTTGTTTTTTATTTATTTTAACCTACAGTTATTAAGTATAAACTTTCTATTCTCTGACCAATTTTGAATTATATGGTAAAATAATGTACAGCGTGATTCAAAATTGGTGCCTTGATCCAATATCAGAAATATGGTAAATGAATATGCAACATTGGTTGGCCTAAATATACCTTAACCAGTTTCCTTAGGATCTCAGGGACCTATTATATTTTTATTTTTTTTCCTGATATTAT